TTAGTTTTAACATGTGTCTTTCACTCTGATAAGAATTATGCTTGAGAAAGAAGTCAGTGTTGGTGCCACCTAAACAGGGTAGACTGGATTCTTGATATAGAGAAAATGGTACTAATAGCAGGGACTATTTAGCTTAATGTTCTGTCTTAGATCTATCATTCTTCAACAAGGATTCCCTCATGGGTTCAATCAACTTCTTCCTGATAGAAAACTCCCAGCACCTTTGAGAATTTTTGAAAGTTCTCACAAAGCATGTTAAGGAAGAACTTCCTGCATGTCTATAATTTTCATCTACTGGGTATAGCGCTCTGTCCCCTAGATATACAAAATAAGCCTTTTTTGAAGATTAAAGCCAAACTCCCAGGAGTCCTCTCTTCCCCCTCAAAATGGTCCTGGAGTAAAGGATGTTTCATATACTTGACTGCTCCAGTTAGTCTCTTCTTTCCCGATCTTTGTTTGTCTAGATCTCTTTTAAAGTGTTCTACCAGGATATGCTACTGGGCTCTCTCATAGCCATCTGACCACTATGGTCACTTCCATCATTTTTGACACTGTTTCTCTTCTTGCAGTTTAAACTGGCATAGCCTTTCTTTCTCTTTATTGTGAGTGTGTGCATGTGCAGGAACTGAGGCTTCAACTCAGGACCTTGTACTCTCATGTGTTTTGGCCATACCTCCACTTCCAGCTTTTGGCTGGTTAGAGGTAAGAATCTCAAAGATTGGCATAGCCTTTTTTTAAGCATTACATCCTTTCTTTTTAAGGATGCAGTAGAATCTGACAGGGCCTGGAAATCTTAACAGAAGACAAGCTAGGGGCCTGGACATAGGGAGAAGACAAAGAAAGAGATGTGAAACTACATAGGCAGCTGGGATAGAAAGTTGGTTGGGAAGTTTGGAGCTGTGAGACAATACTAAGATCAGATCTTTGGCATCTCAATCAAAGAATGGGAGATTTGAGACTTTTCCCTGTGATTTGAAAGCCTGGAGCTGCAAAGTTGTATAAATAAACTTTAACTACTTCCTGTAGAAGTAGTTTCTTTTATTCGTGTGTGTGTGCGTGTGTATGCATGTATATAGATTTTTTTTTTTATGCAGAGGTTGGTAAGGTAATCAGATCCTCTATTGGATCCTAATGCATTTAGCTACGAAAATAAGACAACTCTGAGAAAATAAAGTTATGTGAAAAAATACAAATGTCATTGTATGTTGTGAAATGGTAGTCATCCTCCAAGATGGCAACGAATGATTCTTACCTTCTCATATTCACATCCTTGAATACCTCCCTATGGGAGCTATTTAGGTCATGAGAGTAGGGCCCTTGTGAGATTGTTGCCCTTATAAAAGAGGCCTAAAGAAGCTTGTTTGCTTTTCTGTATAAAGATGCAAGAAAGTGACAGAGATCTGCTGGGGTATTGATCTATCTAAACTTGACCTTTCCTTTTTTTTTTTTGGTAAGTTGTGGGGCTTGAACTCTGGGCTCGGGCGCTGTCCCTGCGCTCTTCAGCTCAAGGCAAGTGCTCTACTGCTTGAGCCACAGCGATACTTCTGCTTTTCTAGTGGTTTTTATTGGACATAAAAGTCTCACGGACTTTCCTACCCAGGCTGGCTTTGAACCACGATCCTCAGATCTCAGTCTCCTGAGTAGCTAGGATTACAGGCGTGAGCCACCAGCGCCCAGCTTAAACTTGACTTTTCAAATTTTGACTTTCTAAACTTCTAGAACTGTGAGTGATAAATCTCTTCTTTGTAGTTATAGTAGCTGAAATGAACCAAGACATAGTGTTATTTCTGAGAATAGGTCATGAAAGATATTGTGGTGTCATCTTTGTCCTCTTGGATCACTTGTTCTGGGGGAAAGAAACTCAGCCCTATAGAAGGTTTTCCTGATGAGAAACTAAGTTACCCATCAATGTCAAGCATTGGCCATGTGTATGAACCATGTTGAACTAGCTTCCCTTCATCATACATAAGCTTTTCCAGGACTGTAACCCTCATAGAAAACTTGGATGTAACTTTATAAGATCCTGAGCCAGAACCACCTAACTATTCTACTCCTGATTTCATGGTCCACAGAATGTTGCTTTTTAAGTCACTCAATTATTATGTTTTAAGCTCCTAAACTTTTTTTTTTGGGGTCCGGTCGTGGGGCCTGAACTCTGGGCCTGGGCACTGTCCCTTAGCTTTTCAGCTCAAGGCTAGCCACAGCCCCACTTTTGGCTTTTTTCTTTTTGCTTATGTGGTGCTGAGGAATCAAACCCAGGGCCTCATGCATGCAAGGCAAGCGCTCTACCACTGAGCCACCTTCCCAGCCCCAAGCTCCTAAACTTTTAAGAAATTTGTCATACACCTACAAATACCTAATATAGATGGACAGAAATGGAGAACAAATAGAAAAGCCCTTCATACTAGGCTTGGAACCAATCCTCGTTACTAAGGGCAGAATACTGGGTTTAATCTTGTTTTTAGGTATTATTGACAACCAAATAAGGTTTTCACAGTGGATGACAAGGGTACATATCTCCCTTTTTCTTCTTTTTCTTTTGTTGGTCGTAGGGCTTGAACTCTGGGCTTGGGCACTGTCCCTGCACTCTTCCAAGGCGAGAGCTCTACTGCTTGAGCCACAGGGCCACTTCTGGTTTTCTAGTGGTTTATTGGAGATAAGTGTCTTACAGACTTTCTTACTGGGTTGGCTTTGAATGGCAATCCTCAGATCTCAGCCTCCTGAGTAGCTAGGATTACAGGCGTGAGTGAGCCACTGGCTCCTGGCTCCTCTTTTTTTCTTCTCCACGGGACAATTAAGACAACACTGATGATTCATGGGAAAAGCTCACTGGCCTTAGTCTATGAGCTATGAGGCTTTGGATACTGGGAGTGCAGAGCTTGGATCTTATTTATTTCTATCCCAAATGCCTAGCAAGTGACTTCCCTCCCTCCAGAATTCTAAAGAAATTCTATTCTCAAAATGGCTCTTTTTTTTTTGAACCATTGTATTGGCAGTTCACCAATTTAAGACCTAATGATAATATAATGAATGTATGCTATCAAACATTTTCACTATTAATAACCCCTTTAAGGAGTCCACCCCATTGGACTCTGCTGTCCATTTCTTCTAGTAATGTTGCTTTAACTGTTGCTCAAGGTCCTAGCACGTTTGATCTAGCAAAGTAAAAACAAAAATCAAAAAACAAAACAAAACAAAACAAAAAACCTCTGCTGCCAGTATCCAAAAACACCGCTATCAAGTTGTCCACAATCATAGTGGAAAGAGCCCTGGGCTGGGAGAGTTGTCATTGAGTAGCTTATAGGGCCTTGAGGAAGTTCTTTTCACTTAATGGATCTCAGTTTCTTCCAACTAACTATGGATCTAAGTGAGCTCTTAAATTTTGGGATTCTTAAAAATTAGTATTGTGAAATGGAATCCAAAAGTGAAACCCAGCGGTTAGCTTAACTCTTGAATGGCTTTTATGGGTACCGCCCAAGGTTCCTCGGACTTCCCTCCATCATTGATTGGATCCAGCGGCACTGAAATGCTGTCAGATGTACTGGAACGTTTTGACAAATGCTAGCCAGGGTTTCCGGTTGTGTCATTAACTCTGGATGACCTTGGGCCAATTTTTCCTCCTGGACCTCATAGCAGGGAAGGGAGATCCTTATCATTAAGAAGTTGAGAGAGCTGGGCAGTGACATGGAGGGCTTTCCAAGATTCCCCCACTGCCCCGTTGGGAGTGAGTCACTGTTAACTAGCTAGGCTCTAACTTGCAGGAGTTTTAAACCATCTGGGCGCAGGGAGGGCTATAGGCAGCTCAGTTTCCAGAAGGAGGCTACAGGTGAGTTCTTAAAGGGGCCGCCAGAACTTGAGTAAGCCCTGAGATGACTGGCCCGGTAAAAAAGTGTAGGATAACGAACGAATGAACAAGTGAATGAACAAACCATCTCTCCCCACCCTTAACCACAGTGGTATTTGGTATTAACCACTAAGACTTAAAAATCCTCTGAAACCCTCAAACTTTTATCAGATTACCCTCCGTGTTTTACATTCTCTCGCTTAATTCCTCAAACCTTTCACTCAGAGGCGAATGGTAACAGCAAAAACATGAAGTACAACATAGATCTCTACCCCACCCCCAGTTTGTATTCTCCCCCCCCCAAGTCCCGCCCTCCTCCGCCCCCAAACGTGGGTGGCGCAATTAATGTTGCAAGCCCGCTTTTCCCCTTTGGGGACCCATCCCCGGGGACGCCAGACGATCGTTCCTGCCTTGAAATCTGGAGACAGCACGTGGTCAGTGGGGTTAAGTCTCGGGTCGGGTGTAGGTAAGGCCACGTCCCTCTTCCCGCACCCCGACCCGGCGGGGCGGGGCGCACTCCGAGCTCCGGGCCGCCGCGTGCGGTGGGCTCTGGGCGTCAAGAAGGCGGGCTGTCCCGAAGCCACTCCGGACCACCTGTAGAGTCTGTGTCAACTCCTTTGTTTCCGGAGCCACTCGGACAGCCGCGCCTTCAAACCTGGCGCTTCCCCGGGCACAGCCCACCAGTCCCCCGCGCAGCTCCCCAACCCGCTTCACGTCCCCCTCCCCTGTGTAGCTCAAAGGTAGCGGCGCCGCGAGCCCGGGGTTCGGCGCGAGCCGCCTCCTCACTTCTGATTGGCTGAGAGCACGGGGAAGGCAGTCACGTGGGAGCGCGGCAATCCAGCTCGGGGCCGCCATCTTGGCGGAAAGTTTGGGGGGAGAGCGGCTGGGGGCGCGGAAAGAGGCGAGGTTCCGGGGGTGGGGCGGCCCAGAGGCGAGTGGGCGAGCGGGCGAGCGAGTTTGCGGGCCGCGTCCCAAGGTGCCGGGAGAGGCCGTGGGGGTGCGGCCGCCGAAGGGAGCTCCTCCCCTCCCGTCCCCTCACCCCCTCTGCCGAGCTCCTCTGGCCCGGGGCGGGGCGGGGTACGTGGAACGGGGCCGGGCGGGGGAACTGCTCCGACTCCGGCCGGAGCGCACCCTGCGTCCGCCGCTCGCGGGAACTTGGTGGCGGCGCCGCAGGTGTGGGGGGCCCGCGGAGGTGTGCATGTGGGGCGCGAGGGCGTCGCGGAGAGCGGCCGCTGTTCTGTCCGGCCCCCGCTGGCGGAGCCGAGCTCGGAGAGAGGCAAGCGAGGGGAGGGGGGCCGAGCGGAGCGGGGCGGGGGCACCAGCCGGGAGATCCCCCGCCGCGCGCCCCGGTGGCGGCGGCGGCTGGCGTGGGGGGGGGGACGAGGGTCGGAGCGCCTTCCGTCCTAGGAGTGGGTGGGAGTGTGGTTGCTTAGCTTCTTGGCTGTGAGGCACCTACGTGGGGAGGAGGAAGCCTTGGAGGGGGACCCCACCTCGGGAGGGAAGCGTTTCTAGGTGGGCTGGCCCTGCGGAGGGGATAAGGCTCTTCCTCCGACTTGGGGAAACTTTGGAATGTGGGCATTTTTGATAAGGCTGGAAGTTTTTCCACTCTTAGGAAAATGCTCATTTAACTTGAATCCCTGATCTTTTGTGTGTGTGTGTATGTGTGTGTTTTAAAGGTGTGTGCCCGCTTCCTGATTCTGGAGAAAAATGCCGGTCCGGAAGCAAGGTGAGAATTTATTTCGGGACTCTCTTGGGAATGTCACTTGCTTTCCCCCATGACAGTTTTGTGATTGCCTTTTTTAAAAAAAATATTGGTGTAACGAAAGAAACAGTCGTGTGCTACCTTTATTGCTTAGGGATTCTATCCTCACATTTCAGAAGATGGAAACCCCTTACACGTTTGTTAAACTTACTTTACAGTGTCTCTTCAGTGATTAGAGAAGCTGTTAACTGTCCCACCCTGTCCTTTAAAAAAAAAAACTCTGAATTGGTGTTTTAGTAATTAATTTTATCATTCTTAAACCCTAGTGTGTGGGCAACTGTGGAGATACTAAGAACTAATGTTTTGAAACACCTAGAATTTGGATTATATTGACAAATTGTAACTGCCTTTGTTGTCTACCAAATAATCTGAAACTAAATTTCAAATACTTTGATTAGGTAGACTTTTACTGTTGTAAATTACTAGTGTACATGATTACAAACTGCTGACTTTCTTAGTTGTTTTTTTCCCCTGTTGTGTTAAATGTTTAAAATTTTTCTTGCTCATCCTAGGGAATTTGTTTACATGAACTATTGATTTAGAGGATTTGAGGAACTGTTTAGATGTCTTGTAGAACCATTTGTGCTTATATGTGATTTCTTGTAAAAAATTTATATGTACATTTAGATATGTATATAATAAACTTTTCCTTTCAGATACCCAGAGAGCATTGCACCTGTTGGAAGATTATCGCTCAAAACTAAGTCAAACTGAAGATAGACAACTCAGAAGTTCCATTGAACGAGTTATTAACATATTTCAAAGCAACCTCTTTCAGGCTTTAATAGGTGGGAATTACAATTTTGTGGCTATTATGTGTCAACTAGGCTTAATGCTTCTCTAAATTTAGTGATTTTTAAACTTAAGAGTAATGTATTTGGCGATACATGATGCATTCAGTGAACATTTTCAGTGAGTTGTGGTTTTCATAGATCAGTAGTAATACCCTTTCTGAAAATAGCCAATAACAAAAAACTTAGGATTATTTCAGTGATTTTTGAGAGCAGTGTTTTATATATTAGAATTAACTACTAAAACATGGTGAAGTTGCAGAACTATTTCAGGACCCAAAAGGTGATGACTGAATTACTATTGTCTTGTTTCTGTATTTGACTTGTATTTTTCTTAGAGTCCTTGAAAATGTTTGAGGCTTCTACTGAATTTGTGGAGTTTGTGAAGTTTAGACCTGTAAAATTAGGTATAGTATTGTTTGTTAACATTATTTCACAAACAACTTTATACACTTGTTACCTGTAACTTAAATTTGAGGGAAGTGCATTGTTTTAAAGGAAAATTGGATAGATGAATGTCATCTGTTCTGAATTCAGTTTTTGGCATGTCAAATAATTTATTTTAGGCCATTATGTTAACTATATAATGGGAGTAGTGAAATGAAACCATGAGTTTTTATGCCTTTTCCCCCCTAGAAGCTAAAGTAGTAAGGCAAAATCTTCTGTTTTGTACATAATCCCCAATATATAATGCAAGCTGATTTATTTCTTTCCTCACATATCTCAGAAAATGTTTTCTTTGTATTTTGGGACAGCCTCATTCTATAGTATTTTGTACATAAACCCCAAAATACAGTTCAAGGTGACTTGTCTCTGGTCCCTCACGTATCTCTCAGAAAGTCTTATCTTTGTGCTTTAAGACAGCCTCATTTTATAGCCTAGGCTGTCCTCCAGCTTGTTAATCTTCCTGCCTTAGCCTCTCAAATGTAGGTATTATAGGTAGGTGCCACCACACCTGGCTAAGATCTCTCTCTCTCTCTTTTACATCTTTCCCTTGTTTATGAAACAGTGTCACAGTGTACTTTAAGCCCATAAATTTAGAAACTAGTCCATGTGTCTATAGTATATACTGAAAAATCATGCATTCATTCAGTTTTTTCTATAGTATTTGAGAGTTTTCTGTGCTGGCACTTGTGACGATTGGATTAAAAGGTCTTGATCACTTGCATTATTATTATTTTTTGGGTCCGGTCATGGGGCTTGAACTCTGGGCCTGGGTGCTGTCCCTCAACTCTTCAGCTCAAGGCTAGCATTCTACCACTTGAGCCACATCACCACTTCGGCTTTTTTTTCTGTTTGCTTATGTGGTGCTGAAGAATCGAACCCAGGGCCTCATGCATGAGAGGCAATCACTCTACCATTGAGCCACCTTCCCAGCCCATCACCTGCATTATTTGAAAGTCATTAGGTGTTTAAGTTATTGACTTCCATGCTTTAGAAATCATTTGTTTAAATTAAATTATCTTGTTATATTTGTTTGGAATATTTTTGTACTTGTGTCAACATTGCTTATTTATTGATCTTTTAAAAATTGAATTTGTATTGACTTTTCATGTGTTTGGAAAAGAAGTTTATATGGGTTTGTAGGAGTTTTTGTGTTATAGATTGATTTACCTCTGGGCTCTAGTTGAAATGTTATATAAATTAGATTCCTTTATCTTGGGTTTTATTTAGAGGGGCAAACATGAAAGTATGTCTGTTCTAATATACTAATTTTTAAGTATTCTATTTTATTTTATTTTATTTTTATGTTTTGGTTGGTCATGGGACTTGAACTCTGGGCTTGGGCGCTGCCCCTGCGTTCTTCAGCCCAAGGCAAGTGTTCTATCGCTTAAGCCACAGTGCCACTTCTGGTTTTCTAGTGGTTTTATTGGAGATAAGAGTCTCATGGACTTTCCTGCTGGGGCTGGCTTTGAACCGTGATCCTCAGATCTCAGCCTCCTAAGTAGCTAGGATTACAGGCGTGAGCCACCGGCGCCCAGCTTATTTTTAAGTATTTTAATGTGTTTAAAGTTGAGAGGCATCTTCTAAGTGAATATATACTTTGTGTGCATGCGTGCACACACACCAGTACCAGGGCTTGAACTCAGGGCCTCTTCCTTTCTCATAGGTGGTACTTTACCACTTGAGCAACACCCCTAGTCAAGCATTTTACTCTTTAATTGGAGATGGAGTCTCGAGGACTTTGTTGCCCAGGCTGACTTCAAACTTTGATCCTCCAGGTCTCAGTCCCTTTTGTAGGTAGGATTTATCGACACGAGCCACCAGTACCCCTGGCATATGTCTTTTTTGTTGATTTTTTTAAATTAGCTTACATTAGTTGTACAAAAGGAGGCTTGTGTTGTACATGTTGTGCATTTTAATAAAACTATCTCTTACCTTCCATTCCCCTGACCCTCATATGTTTTATTGTTGGATTTTTTTGTTGTTGTTTAGCTAGAGTCTCACCATTTAGCTCATGCTGGCCCTAAACTCAAAATTCTCCTGCCCCAATTTCCAAGTGTTAGGAATACAGGCAGAAGTCACCATGTCTTATGGGTGTATCATTTTGAATTGGCGTGCTTTTTTGAACTCAAGGAAATATGAAATAATGGTGCAATTTATAATTGGTAATAATTTTTGATTTAGGAGAATGCAGAAATTATTCCAATTCTTATACTTAGTAGTATCCTTAAATATTGTTTCATTTAAAAATTATTGAAAGTGGTACTTTTTTCTTTTCTTTTTTTGTTAGCTTTATGAATTTCAGCTAAGGTGTTTCTTTAAAGCTGAATATTTATAGTAATTATGTCTTAAAATTTGTTTATGAGCTTCACATTTGTTCCCAAAATGTTCTAGTAATTATTTATATTTTGGTTGATAATAAGGCTTGAACTCTAGTCTTAGGTACTGTCTCTGAGCTCTTCAGCTCAAGGGTAGCGCTCTACCACTTGAGCCACAGTACACTTCTGGTTTTCTGGTGGTTAATTGGAATAGGCTCACAGATTTTCCTGCCTGGGCTGGCTTTGAACCATGATCCTCAGATCTCAGCCTTTGAGTAGCTACATTATAGGCGCGAGCCACCTGCTCCCTGCTTAGTAATTTTTTTAATAAATGGGAGAGATAAGTCTTTTTATTTTAATCTCTGAGTTTAGTAATAGTAGTTTGAGATATCTTATTGGAGATAAGAGTTTCATGGATTTTCTTTGAACCGCGATCCTCAAATCTCAGCCTCCCAAGTAGCTAGGATTACAGGCGTGAGCCGCCAGCGCCTGGCCCAATTTCTGTATTTGTATTTGAACATGTTGTGAATTAGGTAGATTGGATATGATGTTATTACAGTCAGAGCTCAGGTATTCTAATCCACAGTGGTTTCAGACATTTCCTGATTTTAAAGGTGTCTAGGATTCAAAGTGACCTTGTTAGTCCTTAGAGATTTCATACAAGTTTATACCCCTGCAGTTACTTCTTGTGGAATCAGAAAACACAGCTGTTTTAGTTGTGTACAGGATTCTGTGCAGGTATCTTTACTAGGTAGGATTTCATCTCTTGGATATACTTATACACATTTTGCTTCTTGTTATTTGAAATAACTCTCTATTTTAATAACAACTTGCTGACTTGTACCCAGCTTCTACAACTGGAGAATCAAATATTCATCTTACTGTAACTAGGGTTAAGGACAAAATACACAGAATAACACTCATTAGAATGGCTATCCTAAAACTGAAAACAAGGATCTAGAGAAATTGGAACCCTAATACATTGCTGGTAAAAATAGTTTGAGCAAGGAAAAGATAACAGGACATGGATTAGACTGTTAGCTAAAACTTTTTGCAATTGAAAGTAAGTTTATTAACTTTCCATTGTGGTTTTTGATTTAATTAAATTGAGTTATTCATTTATTAATAGTTTTGCTTATTATATCTGTGCAAAAGTGTTTTGATTATGCTGGCTCTGGCTGAATTATCTTTAGAACCTGAGAATCAGCTATAAAAAATCTATAAATATTTCTTCTAATCATATTCTTGCTTTGTCTTTTATGACATTAACTATTTTGAAAGTTCTGATTTAATATAAAGTCTTTTGTTTTGAGCTTGTCAGATGTTTGCTTATGATTAGTTTAGATTTTTGTAGTATAGTTTAAATTGGGGAGGTCACTTACCTAGCCAGTGCAGGGTCCTAGGTTCAAACCATAGTACAACAAAACAAAACAAAAAATAGATTTTATATTCTAGGTTAGGAATTTATATATCCAGATGTACACAATGTCATCTTCCTTGGTAATATTAATTTTGATTACCCAATTATGTATGCCTCTTTAGTCACTTTCCCCTTTGAGAGAGACATTTTAGCACCATATACATATCTTTAACAAATTTTCACTTAGAATCTATTGATGATTCTTGCTTGAAGTGGTAAAGCAAGTTTTCATTTATTTCATTATTTATTTTTTGGTCTTTGGGCTTGACTCAAAGTCTGGGTGCTGAGCTTTTGTTCAAATCTAGTTCTCTACCACTCAAGCCACAGCTCCTCTTCTGGCTTTTTGGTGATAGATTGAAGATAAAGAGTCAGATTGACGATAAAGAGTCTTTCAGACTTTCCTGTCTGAGCTGGCTTCAAACTGTGAGCCTCAGCTCTATCTCCTTCAAAACGTGATCCTCAGCTCAGTCTCCTGAGTAGCTAGGATTGCAAGTATTAGCCACTCATGCCTGGTTTGAAGCAGTTCTTTACTGTGGTTGTTGAAGTCACAGTTTGCTAACAACACCACCACCGTTCTTGCACATTTCTCACTTGGTTTTTTTTTTACTGTGATAAAGCCCACTAGAGTCTGTCTGTCTGGAAATGGAATACTTCTTCTTTTTTTTTTAATGGTTTGTCATTTTTTTAAAATTATGCTAACGATTCTGGTGCTCAGATTGTCTCAGATTTAGCCAGTGGAGTTCCTCTGAACATTTTATTACATCTTGACTTAACAAGATGTTCCAGGTTCATCTTGTACTTACTCTCTGTCCAAG